ATACTTTAGTACTTGGATATTAGTTCACGTATTTTGGATATCAATTAGTATCTGCTAACGAATCTTCAAATTAACAGATTAACTTTCCCGGTTTAGGAGTGGCATTTGGGGCCATAACATGATGGAAAAAATTTGGTACTTGTTATTCTCATAATTTTGTTGTCACTTTTTGTCTTTCTTTTTTCAGTTATCTTTTTTTGTATGTCTAACGCTAACAAAAACTATTATATTAAAATAATGTACAAATCTATGTACATATTAATACTATTTAAAATTTATATTTTATACTTTATAATAATTGATGATGTGAATCTCTTAAACACAATATTATATTACAACAATGTATGAAATTTCGTACATATTAATTCTGTAACATATGTATGTGGACCAAACATGCACACACGCAAACCAAGCAAGAAAGAGATGAGGTTAAAAAGGGTAAATTGACAAAAATAACTAATTTTGGTTGGATGATAAGCAAGTAAAGATAAGTAGATGATCAAGTAAATAAATGATAGATAGGATAGATATAGGATAGTTATGATTAGGTAGCTTCATCTAGATGATTATGCATACTTTTCTTATCAATGATATGCATTCATGCATTTATTCTATTATGATGTCTTATTCCTTCCACTAAAACATTTCTAACCGAGCTTTTGCCAAATGTGAGAGAAACTATAACTAGTTAATGTGTATTTTCGCTTCATGTCAGTAACTAACTGACTCGCTAAAACATAACTCCTAACAATGGTCAAGTGTAACCAATGAAAGGGGTTGTAGTATAGTGGTTCAAGTAATAAATATCGAATCTACGAGTCTCTAGAGTTACTATTACTCAGCTTCAGTTCATTATCTAGCAAACCAGATTAAGATAGAAGAACTATAACTACTCTGCGAAATAAACTAGGTAAAAACTACTAATTATAGGTTGGGAACTATGATTCCCCCTAGTCTGCAATTAGGCCAAGTTTGTAATTCACCCAATCCAATTCAGTTGACAGATATACTGCGGAAAGTTCTTGACAAGTCTGAAATCTCGACTAAAGTAATCCAGACCCTCTTCGTTCGAATACCCGACGGGCGACTAACCTCCAGCGTCATAAACTAACCAAGGCAATAACACACCAAACTTCCTCTACTGGCTTTAATTCCAGTATAGAGCAGTGAATCGACTTCTCGACTAAAGCAATTGATTCACCACTTCCAATTTAAGGTTGTTCTATTAACCTATGCAGAGACTATCGTTCTAGGTTAAAGTAGGAATTACACAGGTTTGATCAGGACTCATGCAATTCTGACTAATTCCTTAATTGAATGTATCAAACCAATCATTCGCAAACGGGGTTCATACAACCATTCCTAACATACAACAATAGGGTTCTTCATACCCAGATGAGAGGGAAGTTTACTCCATGGAGAGAAGTAGAAACATCATGCTAAGAGGAGAAATCATCATGTGGAAAATGAGAATTTGCTCTTAGCGGCTAATCGGTACTCCGAGGATGAGGAATCAAGCTCTGAGGTCTTCAGATCTCTTTAATACTTGCCCAAGGGTTGTCCTTCATCACTCTCTCTCTCTCTAGGGCTCTTTCGGCCTTTAGAACTCTCGAAATTCGGATCCCTTGCCTTTTTCCCCAACAACCCTTTTATAAGCTAGAGATTCGCGAGTTACGGCCTAAGTTACGGCCGTAACTTCCTCTCCTAGCCCATAAATCCTCTTAAAACGTTGTCGTCACTGTGCTCCGTAAACTAAGAGTTACAGCTTCTTTGGAGGAGTTGCGATCGCAACCGTAACTTCAAAAACGCTTATGGACTCCTTTGTCATTGCCTCCCAAGAGTTATGGGTACTTAGGGCTTGTTACAGTCCAGACCGTAAACTGCTCAGGTCTTGCCGTAACTTCGAAGACGCTCCTAGAACCTTGGTCCTTCCTTTGAGAAGTTAAGGGCTCTTAGGGAAAGTTAAGGTCTAAACCGTAACTCCTAAAGCTGAACCGTAACCTCTCCCTGCCTTCTGCCATTTCGCTCCAAAACGTCCCAAAACTCGCTCCTTCGTACCTATTCACGTGTTAGGACCTGAAACATCATCAACCAACACAACCTAGCGTAAAATAGGCCACGAGAGCGAAAAACCAAGCTCAAATGATCAAGAAATTAAGGGGGAAACATGTTCAAATATAGCATTATCACTAACCAATTATAACAAAGAAGTAAGGATATCACGTTGCTATTTAGGGTTTCTATGAATGAATAGCATTGGTTCTAGGCTTTGGTGATCTAATGTACCAAGCATTGATTGTCATACGTACATGAAAGGATGATCATTCGATACATGCATACATAAGGCAATAGCATATCACATAAGAAGAGTTTCCTAGACAACTTATGATGATATTATGATCAAAATCAAGATTGCACACATTAGATAAAGATAACATGAAAATACACAATCATATGATTAAATCCTATAAAGTAGCACATAAAAATCATAGAACTCACATTCCTAAACAATGAGAAGTTTAACTAACCATATAAGAGATAGATGACACCATCGATGATGAAGGGATCTCCTTGAAGCTTGTTGATTCACCTCTTTTAGGCCGCCTTGGTGGAAAGCTCCTCTCGAAGGTGAGTGTGTGTCTTTGTGTGTTGTAAACCCTCTACCCTAGCTCTCTATTTATATTACACGGAAGAGGATTTTTAGGCTTTTTTCCGTCTTGGATTCATACGCAAGTATCTTAGTGCAACTCGAACTCGGACTCCTTGACTTGGGGATGAAGTAAGAAGCTTCTTAGGGTTTTGGGCCATCAACGGCCCAACAACAACCGAACCCATTATGGATTTCTTCATGGGCTTTGGTAGCTTGGCCCTCAAGTAATCTCTCCAGTTAATTTGGGCGCGACTTGTGATGCATAATCTCCCATCTCTATATCTAATATAATATTCTAATCATATTTTTTGGTTCCTTCCAATGGCTAGCTATTTAACTTTCCTCAAATAAATCACAATCTCATGTGATGGACTGAAATCTCCTTCTCACTTGTTTTAGGAGTATTCCGTTACTCTTTAAAGGGTGAACATGAGATGGTATCATATTTGGAGATGTTTCCATCCTCAACTCGGTGAGGATCCATCTCCCAGTGTGATCGTCATCCCCCCTCCAAAAAGTGAAGGTATGTTTCTCAGACCGTCGTCTCTCTGGCATAAGTCATCACTAGCTCGTTGTCAATCTCCATTCCAACAAAATCTCACCCTATACAAACCCTACTTTATAGAGAGAGAGAGAGAGATTTGATCATGTCATATGGGCAATCGTGATGCCCCTCTATGGACGAGGGGATAAGTTATTCCCACATAAAATGCACAAAGTGAGTTATTTAATGATAGAAAAAATATAGCATCGTTTCAAAATAATTATTGAAAAAACATGATTTCGATGGTTGGGTGTGCCTAATGGGTTGTTGATCCAAATCGCATGAGATCGGTGCTTGCTCGGTTAAATATCTCGCATTCCTCGGGGTGGGTTGGATACACAATCTAGGATCATAAACATCTATCGGCATCTATCATTAAATATAAAGAAATATAAAATTATTTTATTTGTAAACAAATCGTGAAAGTACAAACTTCAAAATACAATGAAATTTTTTTTGGTGTAGAAGGTCGATGTACCGTCAACTACAGAGCATACTAAGAATTCCTTGGTTTGGAGTATTTTAGGCAAAAATTATCATAATTTCAAAAATAAACAATTAAGTGTTAAACTACTAAAATATTATTGATCTTATAATCACATTGATAAATCACAAATATACTAAATATATGAAAAATTACTGAACAATAATTCATAAAATGAAAAACAAGTAGGTACTCAAAGAGCCTCTTCATCCATTTTTTGTAGAAGCGGAACAAAGGTTTGACCGAGGTTTGTAGAGGGAGAGGGTAGTATCACAAACTAGGAAACTTTTTTTGGTGTGGAAGGTAGGGCTTAGCCGCAAGCACAGAACATACAAAGAAATTCTTGAGTGGTGGAAGAGAGGAAGAAAGAAATTTTGTGGTGGTGTGAATGAATGAGGATGGGGATTTTATTGGAGTGATGTAGGGACGAGTATCGCTTAGGTCGCCAATAATCAATGTGGATCTCTCTCGTCTAACGCGATTGACGGTTCATCATCGCCCACATCAGCGATCTTCGCCAATCTGCAACCACGTCAGTGATCTGTGCCGACTACCATGACCAATTGTGTTCTCCGGCCGCGACGAGCACGAATCGCGCCCCTCTTTAACCATCTACATGTTCGTCGCTTGACAGCTCAACTATCCTTACCGATCGCATTTTCCTAAGGCGATTAATTTTTAATCGCTTTCCTCACCAATGATTTTGTATCAGATCGCTTCCGACCCGAGTAATCAAGTAAAAACGTGAGATATATTGTGAAATTTTATAAAAACTATTGTATTTTGCGAAATTTTTTTAAGAACTAGTCTACTTTGGAAAAAATCCGGATTAAGGAGAGCATACGAACCCAATATTATCATGCTAGTGGAATGTCGTGACGGCCAAGTTAACACCACTGGTATGACTGACATGATCGATTTATGACCTCTAAACAAAATGACGCCATTTTAGTGAATCTAATTAATAAGAAAAATAATTTATAATTTATTTTATTAATTTAAAAGTTAAATGTTCACGTTATTTGTTGGATTCAAGTATTCACGTTAAGTGTTGTAATTAAATATGAGTATTAGTTATTTTATTTGAAATTTCGTATTTTTATTTAAATATGAATATGGATTGTAAGTAAATTCAAATATGTTTTACATATAATTAAATTTATTCGATGTTAATAATTTTTCATATTTCTCTATATTTTCTCAAACAACACAAGTTTATTATACCACTAATCACACCATTTCACTTGCTAAATTGATGCAAACCGTATAGACCGATTCGACAACCTTTTCCAAACATAACTTTCCTTGGCTTGCTGGTCACTTTTTTCAATTCTCTACTGAAGACGGAAGAGGAGAATGGCAGGAAAGGAACTAGATCCAAAAATCCCCAATTAATTCTACCTAAAAAACCCTAATAAAAACGAACTCCCTCCACTTCACTCGCCAACGCCGGATTTCTTTCGTTTACATCACAGTCCGCTAGAAATTACTCTTGGGTGGCCGAAATGGCGGCAGTTCCGGTGGCCAGGTTCCCTATTTTCATTGTAGTCCGGCTGCTCGGGGTGATCATCGCCGCCTTAGTCCTCACGTGGACGCTTCATTACAGAGGGGGATTGGCTCTCGTCTCCGACAACAAAGATCTCATCTTCAATGTAAGGAAGATAATAACACAACACCATTTCCGCTTGTAATCTTCCCCCCTCCATTCTCCCACCACCTGAAATTATACTTCGTTTCTCACTGTTTCTTCGTTTCGCTGGTGCTGTCCATTGCAGGTTCATCCAGTTCTTATGGTGATCGGGCTATTACTTATGAATGGTGAAGGTAAATATGAGTTACATTAAAATGCATTTCTTCGCTTCGCCTGTGGAATTTGTTTGACTTTTCTTTGGGGTTGAACTTGCCGAATCTTGATCTTCATGATAATAATGCTGTTGTCAGTTCTGCGCCTAATCAACACCCTATTTCCGTTGTTGAATTGTTAGTCTAATTCGCGAGTTGTTGATATCGTTTAGTCTCGAGGATTAGTAGGAGACATGACTTCTTGGTGACTTGTCTACATGTTTAGATAGCCACAGCTCCCTTATGAACTCTTCCCTTATTGTTGGAGTGTTCTCTGAAGTAAATTGTTTGTTAATAATATCTGTGGGTGACTGAAAGAGCAACCTCTTAGCAATCTCAAATGGGACGTCTCGTTGAAATTAAACTAGATGTCTCCTAATGATTATGGGTTCTGGTTGATTTTCTCCGGTTGTGTTATAACTTATAAGAGAAAGACCACCCCATATATTACTTGAGCTGGACTACCTGAAAGTCCACCTTTTTCACAATGATTTTGCTTCTCTAGATTTGTGGTTTGTGGCTTTCCAGAAGAGGTTCAGCCTCACTTCAGACATAAGTCATTACAATCAATTTAACTTCCAGAATGCTTTCTTCAACTGGGAACAGTACTTTCTGCTACGTATATCTAAAGCATTTCCATAGATTCATTAGTGGACACATTTTGTATATCCTGTAGATACCAGAACGGGGCAGTTTATGTAACTCAGTGTTGAATTGTTTGTATGGATTGCTGCAGCCATGTTAGCCTACAAGACAATTTCAGGAACAAAAAACTTGAAGAAACTCGTGCATCTCGCGGTGCAGTTTGTCGCCCTCGTTCTCAGCTTGATCGGCGTGTGGGCAGCACTGAAGTTCCACAATGATAAGGGCATTGACAACTTCTACAGTCTCCACTCGTGGTTAGGCCTTGCATGTGTTTTCCTCTTCATCATTCAGGTCTCTCATCCCTCATTCCTCTTCTGTTCTGATTTTAAAACATCTTGATGTTCTCCCATGGTTCCAACTCAAACTAACAAAAATGATTTCATTTTTAATGCAGTGGGCAGCTGGGTTCATGACCTTTTGGTATCCAGGTGGTTCGAGAAGCAGCAGAGCGACCTTGATGCCGTGGCATGTCTTCTTTGGAGTCTATATATATGCGCTTGCTATTGTTACAGCTACAACTGGTCTCTTGGAGAAAGCCACGTTCCTTCAAGTCAACAACGTGATATCACGTTATTCAACTGAAGCTCTGATGGTGAACTCATTGGGTGTCTTGATTGTCGTTCTTGGTGGCTTTGTTGTTCTGGCGACAATTAGTCCTCTTCATGGCAAAGGGGAAATCCCCAGGAATGCCACGGAGTAGGGCGATGGATCGTCCTGTAATTGGAGGTTCGCTACTGCACATAGCACACAGGCTTCACTAGAGGAAGAAGAATGCCCCTGTAGAAAACCAGTCGATACTTGATACCTGTGGGGATATTCTGGAAAAGTGAGGCTAACGACGCCCCTTCTTCCTCGGGCTTACTGCAAAAATGCAATTTAAGGATGTGCAAACTTTCCTATTTATTACCTTTTCATGCTCCTTTATCATGGTTTACCCATTAATCAAGTTTGGTACTTACTGTTACTGGTTTCTCTGTATGCTCCTTTATTATGGCAACCATGGCAAACACATGGAGTTCCAACTCTTGAATACAATGCTGCATTGGAAAGTACTGAAGATGCTCCCATGAAAACTCGAGTCACTTCATGCATGATATATCCGTATACGAGATTGCATTTATACGAGTATCTGTACAGTTGAGGCCTTTTCCTACAGACTTTCGAAGCAATAACTGACCTTCAAGTTTGGGGCGAGAGTCGACTGCTACAACCCTGAACTGCTTTCCAAGCTCATGTGCATATGTAATAGTTAATATGACGAGCAAACTTCGGGAAATGAATGTCTGTTAACAACTGTCCACCTATAAAGAGCAGAACCATTTACAGATTGCTTCACCTTATTGGCTTTTTTATCTGTTCAGTTTAAGCGAGCTTATCATCATTACAAAAGTTATTGCCCCTGCATATTGATTGAGCATAGACAATATGTTTGGATATCAAGATTTGAGAAGAGGAATATGCTTAATACAACATTGAATTTTAAATGCATGTTCAAACTAAGAGCACATTACTAGACATGCCATATTAACTAACAGATATAAGAACTTGACGATGATGGTATAGTCAGACGAATACTAGCAAAGGACAGAGGGATCCGGGTGTTGGACATCTCCAGGTCTATAAAACATTCGGATCCCAACAATAAGGTGTATTACATTTGTTCCACAATTGCATGTTCCATTCCCAGTACTGCTAACATGGTAAAAACACGCTTGAAACTAAACGAAACTTGGGCAAACTGGTCCTCTAGAGATCCCTAGGCGAACCTCCATTCCGTGATGCATGTCCTGAGGGCGATAAACTTCGGATTCACGAGGATCTGCAGCAAAAAAGAACCCACATTGTCAGATGAACAACTTATAACCTCGTAAAACTATCTAGATTACTTTGGGGCTTATGACAAATAACAAGTTTGCAAAACCACACGTGTGTGTGTGAGTGTGAGTGTGAGATTGAGAGAGAACATTAAAGTACTTTCACGTAAAAAAAAACACAGATATAATTAATTACAAGGGGTTCATCAAATTGACTTTACCATTCAGATAATCTTCAAAACCAAAGTCATCCAAGCTTCCTGTCATGGCTTCCAAACCAACCATTGAAGAAGGAATAGGTCCAGGAGGTCTCTGAAATCTGCAGACATTTTGTGGAAATATGAATGAGAAAATATGAAGTTAAGAAAACCAACCCTCCTTTGACCCATTACCACTACTGACAAGAAAGCAGTACAAACCACCTACCAACTCATGGTATTTCTTACTCTGTGGTGATAATTCCAAGTTCAGAAAGATGAGGACAAAGATTGGATTGAAAAGTGAAAGAAAAGAGGACATACAGACAATCATAAACTTATCCAGTCAATGGCGCAACAATGATATGGTCATTTCTAGCATATCACAAATATCTATGGCAATGACCATATTGGCCAGGATCTAAAGAGACTCCAGGGAATGAAATGTTATATACTTTTTTCTCAAAATCACAAGATAGAGATTCCTTAGATACAGTCCGAGATGCACCTTGACTGAAATAATCAATATGCATTGTCATCCAAACTTAACCACCCAGAAATAATACCATCACTGAGCCAATTCCCAGTTGCTTAAGCACTAGTAAATAGCAATCATAACCCCGAGCTCCAACATAGTGAAATATGTCAAGTAATGTTTCTGTAACTCCTGAAAGTCTCAGTCAGGACCAAAAAGAACTCATAACAGCATTATTAGATGACCCATGATGGAAGATGGTCATTCCACAAAGCAGTACCGAAGGTTCCAAGATGAAAGAAAGAAAGAATGCATCTTGGCCCCGCAACGAAATGTTTGAAATAAGTAACAAAACACTAAAGTTGCTGTGGCCGAGACAAAACTACACAAATGGTGAACAAATGAAATGCCGACATGTCCCATGTCACACCTAACTGTTCCAAGTGTCTCATACTCGATCAGTTCAGGGAACAGCTAGATATTCCTGATAGCTATTTGAACAATCCAAGAACAAGACTAAGCAATCTTGCTTGTAATAAACTACCTCTAGAGCCGTGAATTCGACTACTCTTATTATCTACTCAAAGAGACTGAAGTTGTTTGTTCCCATGAGAAAGGAGATGTACTCTATCACTTACTGCAGATTATATACTATTGTAGCAGATTTCAAATGAAAGGATAATGTTCACCAGATATCACAATTCTACTCATCCAATGATACTAATAATAGAGGTTCTTGCAGAAAAGGAGCTGAGCTGCATTGCATTGCTTTTGAACTGCATGATCCATGTATTCCTGCTCCATTACCTAAAATGTCATGCCATATGCCAACTAAGCCATATACCACATAACCAAAACTGGAAGAACAACTATTGCTGCAATAGCTCATGATATAGGACATGGACGAAGGCGACAGTATACTACCAGCCTATCAGTAAAGGGGACTTCTCCCAACATCCATGTCATGACCAACAACTTACTTTCCAGAAACAATATCTGTCCCGTGTGCTGAGATCATGAAATAAGAGCGAGGAGCGATTTAGCATAAGGAAACAGTAAACATACCGAGAAAGAATTTGCCTATCCAGGTCCATCTTCAAAGGAAAGGCAGATCCATAAGTGTTTGCAAGGACTTTCCTCTTCATGTCTTCTTGATTCTTAATTATCTGGACACCAGGTTAAAACAAAGATCATAACCAGAATCCAAACCCTCAGTAGATACCACTTCCAGCTAAAAACATAAACAGAAGAAAACAGTCTTACAACTTTTTGACCACCATAGTCCATAGCCATGTAATTTTTTCAAGTATCCTAAATCTGCATTTCCTGATACTCGACAATCAAAGTGCCAGGTAGCCCATACATGAAAACCCTAGATATCGTCTACGTCTTATGACCGGGGAAGAAATATTGCAATCCGGAATCATTATTAAAAAAAAAAAGATTGCAATCCGGAATGCTTTTTCTCCAATTATTATTAACAGAGATTGAAGCTAATAGCCATCGGAGGGTATTTCTCCACCAAAATTTTGTCGAGAACCAAGCAGAGAAAGAAAAGCCGGTGAATATAGTGAAGGGGGCGAGATAGTTACAGATCGGTGGGCAGCTTCGAGAGGGTGAGATCCAACGAGGTCGCTCTTAACGCCGTGGAGGCCGAAGCGAAGTGCATCGTTCTGGATCCCTCCGATTTGGTGAGCTAATGTCTTGGGTGCTTCTTCCATTATCGGCGCTGTGATTCGCTTCTTGTTTGTTCTTGCCTCTAGGTTTCTTCTCGGTGCTTCAGAAGTCAGAACCTGCTAGTAATTTACAAGTTACAACCATCGTAACTCGAGAATGCTCTTACTTACTGGGCAAGCCATTTTTTTAAGTTTTAATTTTCCAGACACGAAGGCGGTAGAGGTGGCGATTGGGCCGATTGAAGCTGGGTTGCTCGGTTGGGCTGGATCAAGTTGGGTTCAGTTATCTTCGACGGACACGAAGTTGGGACTTGGGAATAGGGATGGCAATGGGCGGGTTTGCCTAAATCATCCTCATCTTTAAATACCCAAATTCATACTCACCCCATACTCATGCGGGGAATATTTTGCAAACCCATCCCCATACCCGTGGGTTTCGGGTACCCATGGATAATACCCATCCCCGTATATCCAACATTATTATACCTAAAACTTACAAGAAAAGTTTTAATTATAACCATAAACAAACCGATTATATCATGAAGTCAACAAAACACGGTCATTTTCTAAATACGATTCAAAGAATATGATCCTAAAACATCCATTAATACATAATATAGGCTACAATATTTTTTAAATTATTATGCTCTAACTCTTGATACATTTACTAAGTAATAATTAACTAACATAATCTTGTTGACAAGGGGGAAAGTGAAAGAGTGGAAGGATAATTGAGGGAAATGAATTAGATTTTGATTAAGGTGGTTACTCAATTGCATTTCTACTATTTTTTTCTCGAGTTATCATCATCATCATTGATAGATTACAATTTAATCCACATATTTTATGATATGTGAAGAAATTCTCTTTGTGGGGCGGGTATGGGTATGGGTATGAGGCGGGGGAGGCTAAAACCATACCCGCCCCATACCCATCAAACATTTTGCGGGTTTTACCCATACCCGCCTCATACCCGGTCAAAGCGGGGATTCCCCGCGTTGACTGGGTCGGGGGGGGGGGGGGGGAGGGTCGGGTACCCGCGGCTAGGGATGGCAATGAGTCGGGTTGGGTCGGGTTTTGCCAAACCCAAACCCAAACCCATGGGTTTATCCGTGAAAAAAACCCGAGGTAAAACCCACTGGGTTTGAAAAACTCAAACCCAACCCAACCCGCTGGGTATCCGCGGGTTCATGGGTACCCACGGGTTTTTGTCGTAAAAAATTCACAATAACAAATTCCTATCAAAATTAAAGTCAAATATCAATCTCTCAATACAAATTATCCATATATAAAACACCATTCTAGAAAATTCAAGCAAATCACAAATTAACTACACAAATTGTTCAACACCAATCTAGAAAACTCAAGAAAATTGAAGCAAATCACAAATTATCCATAAATAACATGATTAATCGAAACTTCTTCCTTTCAATTAAGTTTTTCACTCTCCACTCAATAACATCAACTTCATTCTACATAACTAGAAAGAAAAAAATTAGACATGTCTCCACAAACATAAATAAGATTAGTTGTTTAGAATATTAAATATGCCGAGAAAATTAATTATATGGGTTGGCGGGTACCCATGGGTCGGGTTTACCTAAACCCAAACCCAACCCAACCTGGTGAATAGTGAACGGGTTTAAACCCAAACCCGGCCCAAAACCCGTCAACACGGATTTTACCCGCGTTGACCGGATTGGGTCGGGTGGGTACCCGTGAGTTCGGGTTTTATTGCCATCCCTACCCGCGGCCATGGGTTTGATTGCCATCCCTAGTTGGGAACGAGGTCCCGAAATTCAAGTAGGCCAAATACGAGTATGGGCTGCCATCGGACAATTTCGCTATCTGTGTGGCTATGGTAGAATTTTGTGTGCACCAACTCACACGGCGGGGAGAGGGCCACGTTGTCCAAGCCAGCAACGAAGGGCCAGGATTGAGCAAGTTGGACGTAAGAGAGGAAAGGGGAAAAGCGAAGTCGGCTGAACCGAGCCAAAAACTGAAGGGAGTGAAAAGTGGTGGGGTCGCGCAGTCCGCATTTGAAATTGAAAAAAAGGAAAATTGTCTCCTCCAACCGTCACTCCTCCTCCACTCTTCTTCCTTCTCTCTGCTCCTTCTTTCTCTATTCTTCTTCTTTCTCCATTTTCTTTTCTCTGTTTTGCTCTCGTCGAACCAGAGACCACACCTCCCAAACAAAGATATCTCTCTTGTCGACGAGAAAGAAGGACATCAGAACAAGGAAAGCGAGGACGACGAGTGGAGTCTGGCGAGGAGCAGCGCAATCGATAACCAGGAGAGCCTCGACGATGAAGAATCGTCCTTCCTCGAGTTCTGTGTATTTCGGCCGACCTTTCTCGCGTATTAATACCGGTGATGACGATTCTCTCTGTCCTTTTCTTTCTAGGTGTGGGTTTTTCCCTTGAATCCCCCTTTTTGCTTCATTCTTTGTTGTTTAGGATTTACTGAATACGCGTTTAGGGTTTTTTGGTACACCTTCAAAATCGACTCGATTCTCAAGGGTATTCTTCATAATGTGTCTTGTGTGGGCGAGATATGTCAATTTTTTTTTTATTAAGTTTTTGGGTTCTTGCTTAGAATCGGTTCTTGCTTAGAATCTAGGGCTGGAAAAATAGACCAGACCGTTAGAAAAACCGTGGTCCAAACTGTACCGCACAGTTTGGTCCGGACCGCAGACCGTTAAGTATGGTCTGGTCTGGTCCATGGTCTGTATTATTTTATGTTTTGATCTCTTGTTCTGGTCTAGTCTAAACCATGGTTTACCGAACCAAACCGTGGACCCAACCGACTTGTCAATACTTGTTAATAGCCCATTCGACCACTCTCCCAACTCCCACAATGACACCCAAGTCTCAACCTTAGTTTTGTGAATCTCGTCCCTCCATTCACAACCACATTTAACCAGAGAATAGAGATAATTGTGTCTCCATATGACATTATGTTAATGTTTATGACGTTATGGTGCAAGTTGGGATGCTTTTACTTTGTATCTTTGTTATGTACTAAGATTTAGGGTATCAAAATTATTCATGCATGATAGGATTAATGTGTTAAGGCAAATAACAATTATTTTTCTTGGTTATTGGTTCAATATTTTGTGTGATTGACTAAACAAATTATTCATTTTTCGTTGAGTGTGGTCTATCTGGACCAGACCGAACCAGACCGCACAAGCGTGGTCTGGACCGGACCGTATAGTCTGTGGTCTGGTCTGTAGTCTATACTTCAGCTTCTCGGTCTGGAGCATAGACCGTATATATGGTCTGGTCTGGACCAGACCACACCTTTTGCCAGCCCTATTAGAATCAGTAAGTATGGTTGAATCCAAAAGTAGTTGTTACCGTAATCCTCCATTTTAGTTGATTCTTGTGTTCCTTGTTCCCTGTTAACCTTCAATCTGTTGAATATTGGTTATTTTGGTTTGAAATATAGTTGAATGTGTAGTTGACGAATACCCTTGAATGACTTGTACAATGTTGACTGTGTTGTTGACGAATACTAGTTCTTCTGGTTTTGAATATTAGTTGTATTCATTGAAATTGTTTGTCTGCAGCTAGATTAATACTTCATGTTGAAAGTTCTGAATATTAGTTCTCTTCATTGTGTTGTGTTTGTTCCCCTTTTCTGAATATGTTTATTTGGTCTACATGTTTGGAATAATGGTGCGAACCAAGAAGCGTGTTCATGGACCTAAGAAACGACCCTTAGTAGATCCTCCTACTGCTGAAGATGTTCCTCCTACAATTGAAGATGTTCCTCCTGCAAAAAGAGTTAAGTTTGTTGCTGGGAAGTCCTGTGAGACCTCTGCAGGGAAGTCTGGTGAGACTTCTGTTGGGAAGTCTAGGGGGAAGTCTGAGGGAAATTTTTCTGGGAAATCTGCTGGGACAACTGGGGGGAAGTCTGCTGGCAAAGATGTGGGGGAGTCTGCTGGGAAAGATGGGGGGAAGTCAGCTGGGAAAGCTGTGGGGAAGTCTGTTGGGGAAAGGTGGGGGGAAGTCTGCTGGGAAAGCTGTGGGGAAGTGTGTGGGGGAAAGGTGGGGGAAGTCTGCTGGGAAAGGCAAGGGCAAGAAACCACATGAAACGCAGCATTGATGTCACACATCATCATTGTTGAGTGTTACTGAATTTTGGAAGAAGGATGAGGCCTACTATGAGGAATGCGAGAGGGAGCTTAAGAAGGCGAGATTCGATGGATTGTTGGAGATACGATTGCGCGACGTCAATAAGTCTCTATTGTGTGCAATGGCACGACACTACGATACTATTTCTAGGAACTTCATTTTCGGAGAGGGAGAGAATAGGAAGGTGCTGCCCTTAGAGGACGTGGATGTGGCTCGTGTTTATGGTCTTCCTCACGTTGGGGAAGAAATAATGCTGGAGAAGTGCCTGGACAAAACCAAGTTTTCGGCTTTTCAAGCCGAGATTGGGATGGGAGGAAACAGGTGCAGGAATTTTCCTCTGAGTGATATGGTGGACAAGTTAACGGATGAGAATGATAGGCCTCCTGTTCGTAAGGCCGTCAAGCATAGGGATGGCAATCAAACTCATGGCCGCGGGTACCCGACCGCCCCATACCCAGTCAACGCGGGGAATCCCCGCTTTGACCGGGTATGGGGCGGGTATGGGTAAAACCCGCAAAAGGTTTGATGGGTATGGGGCGGGTATGGTTTTAGCCTCCCCCGCCCCATACCCATACCCATACCCGCCCCACCAAGAGAATGTCTTCACATATCAAAAAATACGTGGATTAAATTGTAATCTATCAATGATGATGATGATAACTCGAGAAAATAAATAGTAGAAATGCAATTGAGTAACCACCTTAATCAAAACCTAATTCATTTCCCTCAATTCTCCTTCCACTCTTTCACTTTCCCCCTTATCAACAAAATTATGTTAGTTAATTATTACTTAGTAAATGTATCAAGAGTTAGAGCATAATAATTTAAAAAATATTACAGTCTATATTATGTATTAATGGATGTTTTAGGATCATATTCTTTGAATCGTATTTAGAAAATGACCGTGTTTTGTTGACTTCGTGATATAATAGGTTTGTTTATGGTTATAATTAAAACTTTTCTTGTAAGTTTTAGGTATAATAATGTTGGAAGTACGGGGATGGGTAT